ATTGACTGGTTTATACTTGCAATTAACTGAAATAATTTTTTGAAATTTTTCAAAAATCAAATTCCGTTTTTTCGGGGCTTGGTAACCGTCATGCCCCCTTTTTCTAGATTGGGGTCACGGGCCCTCAAAAATTCTGAGAATCCCAAAAAATGCGGAGTTCGCGATTAACGCCATACACCTTTAATTGTAAAACTTTGCGCCCTCCCCCCTTGGACGGGGATCCTGGGACGGCCGCTGCTACAAGGTAAGTGCCATTATCACACTTGAAGCCCAAATGAGCACTCCAATCCCATTTGGCAAATATTTTCAGCGTGACTTCGTCTTTGCCTTTACCGTATTCCCATCGTAACACTGCCATATGACGTCAATGTTCAAAATGATAAGAATTCTCGCAGTCACTGCCTGATAGTCCCTCGATCGCCGACATAGTTCGGTTACCATTTGGGACTATATAAACCCTGTGTTTTCACTTTAATAAGGCGAAAAACTAAAAATGGTATTGCTGTGAAAGAATCAAAAGATCCTAGGCGCTTTGCAGAATATCCTAGCCACATCACTGGTAAATTGACTCCCGATATCGAACAGCCAGGCTACTGAGCAATTAAGCTCGTTGCCTAGCTCTTTGCCGTTTGTTCCTCCAGTCCAGCAACTCTGTCTCTTCAGGCTTTAATCGAATTTCGAGAAAATTCGCCAAGATGAGAATAGCCACAACGCCATCTGCACAGATGGGAGGAGAATGAGGAAAAAAAAAGAGAGGTGAAGTGAACTAGCTTGTCTCTGACTGTGCAGATTGCATAAAACGTAGCTTCTCCGAAGTAACTAGTAGATACGGGTATCACAACTCAGGTTTCAATTATAATGAGTCATCACTATCCGCGGCAAAATGGGCGCTGCATCCTCTACTGCTGCTGTATAAAGCAAAATAAAGCAATCATGAAGCTATCAACTCCAAATTATAAAGATAAATTCATATGATTCACTGTGGTCTCACATGTTCTTTCGATTAGTTGACAATGCATGAATGTATTCTCGATTTCTTTTTGAGTACAAAACAGAACGCATGAAACTATAATCCTTCGCTCGCAAGCCATCACTCTGACATCGTCCACATGACGTACTTTTGCGTCATTGAGGCTATACATCGGAAAAAATCAGATAAGATGCGTTCGTACGCGACCAAAAAGATTGAAATACCTAATTCGGAGCAGGTATATGGCATAGAATGCACAGTTTAGTTCCCATATTTCGCTAATTATTTTGGTTCACGAAAAAAATGAAAACATTATTTTGCTCTTACCAAGTTTTATGAAAATAGAATCTACCTAATTTTATTTTTCATGATGCAACTGTTTTCCCAATAAACTTACATGTACATGAGTTCCGTTCACATCCTTACTTGTACCGGAGGTCATTTCCACGATGGCAACACTCAAATTCGCACGCATTGCGTAGATGTTGGCAAATCCCAGTAAAGCCAATGCGGCAACAAAATGACGTCGTGCAAGATGCCATTTTGGTGGTCCCAAATCTGAAATCAGCACATACACATTTTCCAAAGTCAACAACAAAATTGGTAATGAAATCATGTAAAATTGGTAGAGTAGCAAAACAGCCACGTTTTCGCACGCCACTATGTCATTATTATTTCATGTGCCCGTCAAATGATTAATCGACTTTGGTTCCACTGCTTTTTCCGCTGCGAATTCGGGCAAAACAAGACAATTCCGTGATGAATTAGTGATTCAGATGGAAAGCTGAAGATGTTTATCAACATATTCAAGAGCATTTCACTCACTTTGCCAATCGTTTTCGTCAGTTTTCAGTCTTTGATACATTAAACTGGTCGGGAACACGTGTACATCGGAGAAGGTGAACGGTGGGCGCCGCTGCGCAGCACGTTACGCAGATGACACAGCTCGGATCGCGCAGATCATTGCGCTGCGCCCGGCGATCTCGCTGGTGATCTATCTTTATCTTTTCGCGGTCATCACTATCATTCCAGTAAATCTCTACTTTTTCCACTATATTAAAGGCTACAGTGTCGGATACGCAGTCATCCAATCCACACGACTTCCGCCGTACTCGTGTTCATTACAGAGCCACACGATACATTCCCCTTCAGATATCAAGTTTGCTCCAATGACTTTTTACCCAAAACATTCACCAAATCCGAACTCGGAAGCCTAATCTTCAACAATTGAGATCCTCAACCAGGGTGGTCAGCTAAAAATGATCCGGTCTTTAACAATTCCTTTTGATTGGCTTCATACTGCGAACTTAAGTACAAAGTACTGTGTGAAGTGAATAGCAAGATGTCAACATGTCATTAGAGTCTATTTCAAGAAAGGCTTATGAACCCTCTAGGGAATTTCTACGCTCATTTATCCAGGGACAGTGGCCTGGTGGTTTGAAAATCCACAACACATCAAGCAGGCCAAGTTGGGCCCGAAAAATAATATTAGGAAGTTGTAGAGCTATTTGGATGCGGACAAGACTAAAGGATGAAATTTAACATTCAGAAAAAAGATCGGCATCCTTA